GGAGGGGCAGCGCAGGAGGGGAAGACCCTCTATGAGATGAATTGATTTGGTGACTGGGGTAATCAGGATGGGCGTGTCAGAGGCAGTGCGGTTGGCGCAGGACAGAGCAGGGTTTAGGGCTGTTGTGCATAGGGTCGCTATGAGTCGCAAACGACTCGACGACACATAACAACACACAACTGTTGTATTTAACTATAATACATAACAATGTTTTTTTAAAAATCTTAGAATATAATGTTGAGTTATCATTTTGTCTTCAATACTTTTATGTATCTGTGGTATAAATCTGAACTTTAAAAATGAAATTTAGAAAGATCTTTTACTAATAATTTTTTTTTTCTAATTCCAGGTTTTAGTATAAAAGCGGTGCCATTCCAGAATGCCATCTTGAATGTAAAAGAACTTGGAGGTATAACTTCAAAATTATTTCTATAGTAGTTATTAACATGTTGCATATTAAAAACAAACCATAATGGTAATCTGTTAACTAAATTGATAACTCACTAGTATTTTTTCCTCTTAATATTATATACCTTACAAATACGTCTCTTTTTCAAAAATCGTTGAAAACTTCAAAACAGTAATAACTGTGTTCTCTTTTGAATAACTCAAAGAGCTTCACTGTTGCTGAAGTGTCATACACTATACTTGCTTTTTGTTTTTTAAGAAGTTTTTTTAAAATGGACGTACTAAGAAAATTTTAATATAATCGTTGGAAGAAGTTACACATTATGTGAGCCAAAGAGAAATACATTTTACGGCTGTTGATATTTATACTATAGGCTTGATTTTGTTAGATTTTGGGTTTTTTAGAATGTATTTGTCCTATTGATAATAAATCTTTGCCACTAGTTTCTTTGCTCGCCAAGCACATTTATTGGATAGGCTGTACCCCAAACCATACATCACTCACTCTCTCATTACACTCTCTGTCTGGCATTTTTTGGTTGTGTTTTATGTCATTCAAGGTCTTAACCCATGTAAATTGGTTAACAAAGAAATTAGTCAATTCATTGAACCTACTTAAATTCTCTAATGGTAGAAGAAAATAGTAAGTGCACTGGAGTCCAGCATCTTGGTGAGTTCAATGACTTAAAAAAAGTTCTCAGCCAACTCTTTAATAGCTTTGTCATCTTGCCTTTACCATGACATTTTTTTGTGTTTTGTTTTTTAATATTGCTCTGTGACCTGTGTTTAACTTCATGAAATTGAAATACCAACTTCATGCCATTTCAGTGCTGAGTGCCTTGTTATTTTTATCAAATAATATATTGGCTGGTTTTTCAGATGTTTTTATGTTCAGAGAGCTCTGTCTGGTACAGGTTTGCTTTTGTCCGTGTGTTTTATAGCTAGCTACTTTTGAATTTTATGGTATCAGTGTTTAAATTCAACCATGGTTAATAAATATGAATTTTTCTTTGAGACGTTTAGTTTTTTCATGTTGACTCCAAAAGTCATAAGCCATAAATATTCCTGTAATACAGTAAGATCTTTAGGTAATGTGTTTAAAACCCTGTGTTTCATTAGGTTGAATATTTTAATATTCATTTGCAGTTTCTTATGATTATTAACTTTTGGGTAGCAATAAAATTATTCCAAAATATTTTCTAGTTATTGAACATATTAAAAAAATCCATGAAATGTAGATGTATTGCTTGAGAATTCTGTTGGCTTGAAATGATTTCAACAAATAATTTCTTACTAGGCTAGACAAGAAACCTTTATTGAATACCCTCAAGGAGCTTGATACTGTTGATTAGTTGCAAAAGCATTTGTTAAAGATGGTATTTGATTAGAGGAAATAATGTGCCAACAGACTGATAGCCTCTATGAGCCCCAAAGCCTCCTGTAACCTGAGGCCAGAAGAACTGAAGGATGCCCAACTACGACTACCAGCCACAATTAACTGTCCAGATTAGAATGGGTAAATATGTATGCAGTTGTTGTATAACATCGAGTCAGAACTAAATCATCATTGACCCTCCAGGGGATTTTTAAAAGCAGTAAATTGCATGAGAGGAGATTGCCCATCTTTCTCCTGCAGAGCAACTGGTGGATTTGGACTACATGCCTTTAGGTTGGTAGTGCAGCTCTGTAACACTAAGCTACCAGTACTCCCTAATTATCTAGAACTTTTTTTTTAAATCCCAGCAAACCAAAACTAGATTTGTTTCCCTGAAAGAGACAAGAGGAACCTCTAAGACTGTTGTTGAAAGACCACCTGCTAACTTGAAACTGAAGACACTCTCAGATGCTGTTTTCCAGCCAATTTATAGACAGTCCATAAAACACACAACAACCTCTGGGCAATGTGTGTTCCTTAGAAAGCAATAGGAGACCAATAGGCAGCATTTGCCCAAAACCAAAGATAAGAAATAGGAAGGGACAGGGAAGCCAGGCCAATGGAAACAGGAGCCAGAGAAGAAAAGGGAAGTGCAGACATTCTGTGGGGATTGTGACTAATGTCACTGAACAATATGTATATGATTTAGTGATTGGAAAACTACCGTGTTATTTAAGTTCAGTGTTTAAAAATATACTCAATGTGTCTGAAAAATTAGAAAAAATGAACACTGTATATAATTTATGGTAGCATTGATTTGTGCTACTGAAATGCAGTGCAATCAAATAAGAGTGCTGTAGGATCCCAAGCAAAACTTCCTTTTACTGAAAGAACTATTCCCTGACATGTGCCAGAATGAAAATTACAATAGAGAGGATACCACTGTTTCAGTTAGGACATATTCTGTTATGAGGTGGAGAGTCTAATAGATGTAGTGTGTGTATTTGGTATTTCTCCCACCCCTCGTATATGTTAAAATGAAATAGAAAAGCAACTTTTTAGCCTAATCATAGAATCAATCCTCTATTCCGTAAATTTTAATGTCTGTTTTCAGTTGAAATACAGTTTCAAAGAATTGATTATGATTATTATTATTTATTATTATTAATCTTTATTAGACTCTGTGTGTCAATATCCATAGTCCAGGCAACAATCCTGTCTCCTGCATTCGGATCCTGAAAGGATTTACTCTAACTCTTCCAAGTCTCCTAATGTGTTGACCCATTTTCCCTCATTTCATTTATCTTTCCCATACATCCCCATTTTACAGAGTTGTATCTGTTTCAACTGCACTATACCAGCTATGGCTGAACTTGTTCTAACTGGTTTTAAAGCATTGCTATAAAAAAAAAATAAATAGAAGAAACTATTACTTAATCTCTAATGATTGTAACTGCTTATGGAGGGACATCAGCACAAACTCTTCAGTTTCTGTCCTGTTCTGCAGCCACATGATCTTATACTCAGTTCTAATGGTGGTGGTTGTGGTGTCAAGAAAGCACAATGTTTGCACAAGTCAGACAGTCATTACTAGGAAAGACTATTGTAACGGACCACGAGATAAGCACCAGGGAAGGCTTCTTTGTGATTCTATCTATTACTTATTGTAGGCTTAGGACAAATAGCTGATCCATATAAGGACATTTCTTAATAGTGCTCAGTGAACTTCCCCCCTGATTATTCTTTCAATCAGGAGACATTTTTTTGAAGCTCATTTAAATATCCTCTCTTTTAATGTTATATAATTCCTCTAACTTTTCTTTTTTTGGATTTTTTTTTCTTTTGCATGTCATGCTGGCATTCTCAGTGGACAGATTGACTCATCTTCCAAAAGATTTTTCTCTCTCTCGAATAACTAGTCTATGCCAAGAATTTGAAAGATAGCTACCTGGCCAACTGACTGTAAGAGATGAGTATATTTGTCTGTATTCTAATGAAAAGAGATTTAACGGAATACAGACATTATTGAACAATGTAATTAATATCACATGAAAGTAAAGTCTTGCCAAAAATCATTCAAAAACAGTGGCGGTAGTATATCCGAAGGAAACTATCAGAAGTTCAAATTCAAGTTAACAGTGTGGAAAGACTATAGCTGGTGATGTGGGAAGGATCTTGGCTGAAAGCAGAAAATACCAGAAGGATGTTTTCCTTGTGTTTTGTTGACTATACAAAGGTGTTCTGTTGTGTAGTTCTAAGAAATTCTAGATAGATTTGCAAAACAGTCATGTGGTTTGAATCCACCAGCTGACCGATGAGAGAAAAATAAGGAATTTCCTCTGTGCGATGTCCATCCTTTGAAAACCCACTGGAGAGTCAGCTGTGAGTTGATTTCAACCCAGCGGCAATGAGTTTGCAAATAAAAGGGGTTTCCAAAATATTCAGTTGTCCTCACACAGAACCTATAAATAGACCAAGAGGCAGTCATTCAGACAGAAACAAGGAGATTCTCTATGGTTTCTAAATCAACAAAAGTGTGTGTTATTGCTGTTTCCTTTACTGTACTTACTTGATTTGGACAGTAAGCAAATAATCCAAGAAGTTGGACTCCGTGTAGAAGAATATGGCAGCAAGATTGGAGGAGGGCTCATTAGCTATAGTACGGAGATGGCACAGCTTTGCTCACTGAAAAATGTAGAAAACTTAAAAAACTGACTGAGAAAGATCAAAGATACATACTGCTTTCAGTATGGATTACACCTCAACTGAAAAAAAAATCAACACCACAACTCAACTGGATCAATAGGCAACATCATAATAAAGAAAAGATAGAAGGCATTCAGGATTTAATTTTATTTCAATTCACACTTAATGGCCAGGGAAGCAGTCCCCAATAAATCAAATGACATTTTATTTTGGGGAAAATCTGCTGCAAGAAAAATCCCCCCTGGTTTTTTTTTTTAAATTTAGGTTGTTTATTTTTCATTT